ATCATCCAATATTTTGGCAACTGATTACTAGAGGACCATACGAGAGAATGCAAGGATTTTTTTTTCTCGATCCTTCATTTTTAAACTGATCTCGGAATCTATATTCCTAAATTTATCTACGCTCATGAGCGAATTTTCTTCGTATGGTAATTCTGGTTGGGTTATGATCCGCAAAAGGTTCGGATTTTATTTAGGGTATATTGCAAATTTTTCACCCTCCAGATTAATTTCCAAAATCACGTTACAGAAATTGAAGTCACCATCGGCACGTGATTTCGATAAATAAACTGTCACACCGCGTCACTCATTTTTATGGCATAGGTGCACCGTTAAAATTCCTTGATTTTAATACAAAAGCAATATTTTGTCCTTTAATTTAAAGTGATATTTTTTTTTTTTTGAAATAATTAATTTTTATTTATTAAGGTTGCGCCTAATTTAATTTGTAGACTTTAATGATAATAAAGTCGATCTAAAAAATTAGCATAAAGGATGTTGTTTTCAAAATTGGATTAATTGCTTTAGAAAATTTTTTATGATCAATTAAATTTTATTTTCATCTTTGTTAAGATCGTTACCCCCTTTGAATCACTGAATTTTTGAATCTGTGTCTCATTAAACTCAATCTACCATTACAAATTTGATGTTGTTCAAGACATGCTTCTCTTGATAGATTCACGTAAATACGATCCGTGACCTCTTAATCCTAATTCATACTTTCGATATTTCTTTCCAATTTACTTCATCCAAATTAGTCAAGGCATTACTAGTTCCTAAAGAAAAAAAAACTAGGCAAACATAAGGTATTAATTCTTACACAGAATTCATGATGTAATACAAACAAACCTATTCCAATCCAAGGATTCATGGCGTGTACAGCATCACCTAAAAAAAGTTACTCTCGTAGTTTCCCATTGATCAACGGTTTCAGGATCGATATCTCTTAATGGTCTTCTTCTCAAAGGATAAAAAAGGTTTTAAAAGGATTTTTTTCATAATCAATTTCGACCCTTAATTTAGATAATTCCCAGATTTCTAGAAATATATCAGTTAATTCACCTCCTTGAGGTCTATTTTCTTTAATTCTTTTCTTGATATCATTTAAAACCATTTCAGGATTTTCATCATCAGGGAATTTGCTTGTTGATAGTTCATAATTCTTATAAGTCCAATTATCATCTTTTTCATGTTGTTCAGAAGGGTAAGAATAACCAAATGATACTCTATAACGTGATGATTCATTAATCGCATTAGACGAATCTATGGGAATTAAACGAAAAATTAAGAATGTACAATCTCCTTTCGGACCCCATCGAAACTTGTAGAAGACTATTTCCGGTGATTGATAATATTCGATCGAAAAGTTCTTTATTTGGAGAGACATCTGTACAACATTGCATGATTCCCAAATGATTTGATATCAATTTAGGAATTTTCTGTTTTCGAACTATCCAAATTGTAAAGCAAGAATGCTGTAAACATCGCAAATTAAAAAAAAAAATATCACATATGCTGTATATTCCAATTCATGACTTACTTGCAGAATGAATTCCGTCCGCGCCGACCAAGAAATCTCCTCTCTCTCTCGTACTATCTTCAAAGATAACCCAAACTCCTTCCTCATTTTCATGGTATCCAACACATTTCTTATCCCATTGCACGTCAATACCCTCAAATAATAAATCTCTCAATCTATCGCTAAAAATTACAATAAATGTAAATTGATTATTTAATTTACTAATTCATAAACATTCTTAACTTGATATCCTAGAGTTTTAAATAATACATTTCCTAAATGATCATGAACCGTTACAACATGATTTTCAATTCCACCGTCAATTGGGTCCGGTACAACTTCATGAAGTCTCGTAGCAATTGATTCCGGAATACATTTTAAAAATGATTTTATTCTCGTGCAATGTAATGTAATATATAACCTTGCCACCGATCTAAATGTTTGAAAAGAGGGAATTTAACACCGTGAAAAGGACGAATGTATTCTAAGGTTGCCGGGATGCCAGGCAAACCCGGAAGTTTCGACAGGTATCGAAATCGAAACCCGTCATAACCGTCGAAACCGAAAGGTTTTAACTTTTGCCAAAATGGGATTAGGGTTTTGTCCGTAACCATAAAATATACCACATCAGTACGTTGTGGGCTTGGTTCACGGTCAAAGATTTTTACATTAAATTTCTTTTCGATCGTGTTATGATTTTTTTGAATTGAATGCGCTAAAGCTAGCCCACCTGGGCCTGCTCAAATTATAAGGATTGTAGGAAGTTTATGTTCACCCATTTTCATATCATTGAATTTCTTTAAATACGGATATAAATAAAATTTGAGAAACGAAAGAGTTTTAGAATTAAAAATTTAAAGCATTAGCACTTTATTAAAAAAAAAGTCGATGACTTCAAGGATTAAAATTTCTATGCTAAAAATATAAAAGTATGAATGATAAAAAAAAATAATGAATTTTACGCGAAAAGTAAATGATGATAACAAGTTAGAATGTTGAGATTCCTAAAATGTCGATCATTTTCAGAAATTGCCCGTCCGAACACACTAAAATTTTACATATCAAATCAACTTAATATTGAAAAATATATTATAAATTTAATTGGCGAATGTGGCTATATATAAACTTTTATTTATTAATTAACTAGCAATAAGCAAACCTTAAAGCCAGAATCAAGCTGGTTTTAATCATATGAATTAAAAAATTTTCGGAACGTATAAAAATTCTTTGCCCTCTCAATCTTTTCACTATATTCTAAACAGTTCTAAGTAAATGATGTTCCGCTGGTTTTGTAATATATAATTATAAAATTTTATGTAATTTTGGTTATTATTTGGGAGGTCTTTATTAAAACCGAGTTAAAAACATAGTAAATCATATGAACCGTAACGCACAGTACTTAATCCTTTCGTCAAGTAAATTTTAGAAGTAATAATCAAAAATTAGATTATTAGAATTTTAAACAAGGAATTCTCTAGTATAAACCATTATGAAATTTTAATAGGTAATTAATTGGAAGATCTTAATTTTTGTGGTATGCACCTTTCCTAATTCAGTAAGTTTTTGCTTATTGACATTTTAAATAAAAAAATTAACAAAAATTATAAAAAAGCTTTTTAATTAAAGCAATAAATTTTTTAATAAAATTATTTTTATTGAATTTAATATTATAAGATAATTATTTGCTTCACTATATTATTGAATAATTAATATCGTTCAATCTAAATTATATAAATTATACAGCTATATATTTTAAGACAATGGAACAAGTTTTACTTGGAACAAACTATATGTTTAGAATATAGATCAAAAGTTCGGAAGAGGTAAAAGATTTTTTTATACATTCTAACGATTTTTTTAGTTGATTAATATATAAACCTTTTGTATTACTATGTGTGTTCGGATCTCAACTTTTCTGGAAACGGCAATAATAAATATATTGTATTTTATTTTAATTGGTAACCGATGGGGTTATCGTACCTACATTTACTCAGGTTCTATGATCATGACATACATGAATTATTTAAAATTGTAGATTGCTTTTTTACATCTCAAAAGATTTACTTAGTGAAAATTATCAATAAGCGTGAGGATTCATAATTTTTTTTTTTAATAAAACAATTATTTGGAACTAAATCAAAACGTTTATTTTTTTTTTAGATGGATGTAATAGATTATCAGAGATAATATAATGTTTGGAGTCTAGGAATATGTGACGCAAATATATGCGCATATTTTTAAGGATTTTTCAATTATATTAAAATAATTAGTCTTTTTTTTTTTGAAGTGCCAGAGAACGTATTTACAGGAATTAGAAGCATTGAGAATAGATTTATGATTGTGATCAGCCAATCATATTTGTTGCAGAATATGTGCCACATACATAACATACGTGAAAAAATCCTTAAAATATGCGCATACAGTTTATTTGCGTCACATATTCCTGGACAGTTTTTCTAAAAATTCTAAAAATAAAATAAATTAATAAATTAGATTTTTTTTTGCGAATTATTTCATATTTACTAAAATTTAAATATATTTCTACCAGAATTATAAACACATATTTTCACATATATCACCACATCCAAATCTGTTTAAAAAAATAATGAAAAAAAATCAACTGAACACACGTTAAGTTGTATCAAACAGATATACCAGATATGTATGCAAATACAACACAACCCGAGTCAATACTATATGAAATTTTTTTTTATTAACGATACAATTTTTTGATTTTTGTGAAAAGGGTGATCTGCATAAATTGAGAACATCTCTGTTTTCTTTCTTTTTGGGGAAGAAAATAATCGTTTTTGAAATAAATTGTCACCATTTTTTAAATTCCCACATTTTTTATCTGAGGTCGTTGCAAAGCACGTGCATGACGAAATCTGATCACGTGACAATTTATCCGCGCAAAGAAATTACTATATTATACCGAAGCTGATAATAATAAAATAAACTATCCATCCTTTTTATGCTGTATTGAATATTTTTAAACCTAACTCGAACATTATTAAAGATAAATATTGTTTTATAGTCCACGCACGTTAAATATGGAATCTCTACGTGACGAATTAAATATTGAAAATATTTAAATATATAATAACACCTATCGACCTTTCAGTTTCAAATCGTAAATGGTATAATATTTCTAAAAACCCAAATGCTCGAGCCGAATGGTTAATTTATAAATATGGTAGAGCTCATGCTTTATTTCACGCAGTGAGGCTCGGTAATAGTTTCATGACCGAAAATGTCATACAAGCTTTACTTTCAAAAGGTGCAATACTCTCCAGATATTTTATATAACGTTTATTAATGCATTTTGGCACTTATGATGAACAACTCATTAAACTCAAACTGGAACATAATGTACAGCGAGTCAATTTTGATAGACTCTGTATTCTTCAAAGGAAAGTAAATTCATTCTGGGGAAGCAATATATCTTTACCGATTTTCACTAAACTAATTACTGAAGGATGTAATATTATGAATGATATTGAGCTTACAATGAAAGGGAATGATATGGAATTATTTCATTTCTTATCAGCTGGACCTCTACCTATTAATTTTGCTCCTCAAAAACTTTGTCAACATCTAGATTCTATTAAAGATTTGATCTTAAAAAAAAGATTCATCCCCTTCCCTCCATGTCCAAGGCCATCTTATGAAGATACGGTGGAATATATTCAATTAATAAATGATAAGAATCATGAAGAATTTCCTCCAAAAGATGGATATGAGAGCAACCGCCAACTTTTTACAGTGGCTAGAGCAATACTGATCAATCCTGATTTAGTATCTCTATGGAAAGAAATTGGTTATTATGAAATTTGCAGTGATGTTAATGAATTTATATTCCGAGGAGCATTCTTGATGCTTTTCCCTCTGAATTCACCAAATAATTGGGAGCGTCCTGAAGTAGATGTTATTGTCGCTCGTTTAAGTCAGCTTATTGATCTTGGATTTCAATTAACTACTAATGTCATAGAAGATTTACTTTTTTTATTTGAACATAGAATAAATGAAATTGGAGAAATTTTGATGAATTCATTTCAAAAAATTTGCAAGGAATTAAAATCAGATATTGCATGTTCTTGTCTTATCCAGACAATTCAACCGGGGAGAATTTTCAAGAAAACAAATTTATTAGAATTTTTAATCAACTCAATTGATCAACCTGAAGAAGCTCTGAAAAATGCGTTAGATTATTATGAAGTTGGATTTAAGTTGAATGTAAAATCAATTAAAACAACAAAGAGAGTTAGATAATTGACAGCTCACTCAAATCTTTATTATTGGATACTTAAAAATTATGGTCCGGATTCTGAGATTACACAAAAATGTTTTGAGGATATATTTGAAACACGAATTTGGGTAGATTTAAGGTCACGAGAAATTCCTGAACATCTTACAGATGTTGCTTTGGATTCGATTTTCTCCATTTATTTCAAGTTTTGTAATGAAAAAGTTTCAATTAAAGAGAACTATCTGCAATATCTGCAATATTTGCAGCTGATTAAAGACGATAAGATAATTGTTCCAGAAATTGCAGTATTAAATATGAACGTTAAAAAAAGAATTGATTATGAGATAAAAGATTTTAAAGATTATTAGAAAAAAAAAAAATAAGAAATAATTAGTTGCAAATTACTATTAATATTATTTTAACGATGAGATAAAATTGTGTAAATTTTTTGTATATTGAAGAAAATTTAAATATTTCCGCATGGATCTAAAAAATGAGAGGTTACTATTTTCTTATTTCTTCAAATTTTGTGTAACATTGAACACCCGAACTTTTTTTTTTTTTTTTAAAAAAAAATGTTTATTGAGGAATTAAATATAAATATAGATAAATTTAAATTTAAATTTAAATTTAAAATAAAGTTTATAAGGATCTTTTAATACAATCTACTAAAATTATTTACCGCCCATACACATTACATTATCATTATGAAAAAATTAAAAAAATAAAAAACAAACATACTTACATTTATTTATTTGATACAGTACGATACGATGAAAAGTCTAGAAAGTTACTAATAACTGAAAAAAATTTTTGATTGATGTGATCTAAAACAATCCAACTCAAAAAAGTTAAAGGGTTAAAAAACTAATCACTCGGTCACTGTTTATATATTCAATTAGATAAATATTGCAAAATAAAGCGAATGATAATTAATGTTTGAATATCTAAAATCACAGAGTTTCTTATATCCATAGTGATAAAAATAAAACTTATCTCTTCCTGCTAGTCGTAATTCTCAATAATGATAAAAAATCAATAGAAGTTTTTTTCAAAAATAAATTTGTGACGTAATACTTATTATTAATAGTAGTATGTGTACCAGCCTCCTGTATTTTGGATTGTGAAAAGTTAACATTAAGTACATTAAATGATAAAAACGGAATAATGTTCAATTTAAAAATTGCAAGAGTAAGGAATTCGTGCTTAGGGCGGTTGGGAGTCAGAAATTAAGAGTCAATGTATTAAAGGAACAACCACGTAATGATAATTACTTATCAATACGTTATAGCACTGGGGTAATACTTGTCTATAGAAATGAACATCCTGGTATTCGAACCTGTAGGTCAACAATATTTCGCGAATATTATTGAGTTCGTAACCAAGATGGAAAAACCACTACTAATACAAAAATACCTTGTCAAAGCACGAAAATGTTGGAAATCTCGCTCGAAAAGTTTTAGCTAAAATAGTAAGTACGAGAAGAAAAAGTATACTTAAGATTTTGAAAGCTTTGCTGTTTCATTTATAATAAAAAAAAATGATGTAAGACCCGTTACAATTGGTATAGATAATTGATATATTTTTAGTCCATCCATATCTATTATTACTTAATTTAGCAAGTATTAAAAAATTTAACCACCTCCGTTTGTGAGTCATCAATAAGATTTTTCACGTCGCCTATAAATTTTTATAAAAATTCTCTAAAATTATTTTAACCGAACCTTTTTTTTTTATTATCTTTGTTCTTAAGGCAAAACATTTTTTCTTAAAATTCGCGGTTACCCGTTCCATATTTCGCATTATTTTGATGACATTTGACGTTTGTTAATTTTTACTTATTAGGAAATGTACTTTTTTTTTTTTAAAAAAAAAACCTGTTTAAACCTGGATCAGGGGGTTTTACCGAGAAAAATTTTTTTAAGTAAAATTATATATTTAG